TATGCTGAAAATTAATTTAAACCACCTACTTTTATTCCCAATTAATAGGTAATATTCAAGAAACATATAAACATATAAAAATTCCAGCATTATAAAAACATATAAACTTGCTGTATTTATGTTTAAAAACATCAATTTCAATAGTTTTGATTAACTACAATCAAATTCCATCAATAAGCAATAGTAACCTAGGGTTTTCAATTTGGAGTTTTCTAATTCAAAAACAAATCTGAAAATTATATACATATTAATCATTATTAAAACACCATAAAATCATCACACACACCCAAGAACAATAATTAATCAAGGTTGGATTAAATTAAAATCCAAAAGAGAGTAGTTTTTTTTAAAAAACTTACGAACCGCACAAGAGGGAGGGGAGAGTGGCCGACACACCACCTTCCCGCGACTGGCTGTGGTGGTGGTGGTAGCCGGCCACCGGTCGGTGGTGTGGGGGTGTGTGGGTTGTGCGTGAGGTGAGAAAAAGGGGAGGGGAAGAATTAAGGGGAAAGAAAATAAGAGGAAAGAGAAAGAGAGTTTACCTTTGGGTATTCTCCACCTTGGGCAAAGTTAAATTTGCTCATATGATGGGTATTTATACCCTCTCTCAAAACCCTCCTAACTTAAATTCCCTTTCTACCCTTAATGATTCCTATTCCTATTCAAAATAGTCATTGACTTTCTTTAAAATTCCATTGACCTTAAAACTTCCATTTTATAAAATAATTATGCCCCAAAGTTTCTAAATAATAAAATAAAGTATTTCCAAAACAATTAAATAAATAAATTAAAAATGGACTTTTAATTAAAATAAACCTTTTTAAATTAATAAAATACCATAACTAGGGGTGTACATAAATAGGACCGGACCTGAAAACCAACCTGAACCGAACCTGTTGGGACCGGACCTGATCCGGACCTGTAGATTCAGGTCCGGTCTCGGTCCTTAAAATTCAGGGATTCCGGTTTTCCGGTCTGGTCCGGGTAAAACCGGGGGTTTCAGGTCTGGACCTGAAACCCGGTAAAAATATAATTTTTTTTTAAAAATATATTAAACAAACCTTCCTTTCCAGACTCTTCTTCCATTTGCTGAAACCCTCCTTGCCTCCTTCTCCTCTCTTCTCTCTCTTCCAATTCGCTCCTCTCTTCTCTCTCTTCCATTCACGCTCCTCTCTTCTCTTTCTTCCTCCATTCACACTCTTCTCTTCTATGCTATCGTGACCATGTTTGAGCTTTATACATGGTAAATTCGGTTTTAATGGTCAAATTTGACCATGAAAATTCTAGATCTAGAGTTTTCACGGTCAAATTTTATTAAATAAAACTCATAATTGATGTTTATAAGAGGTAAGTATGCTGTTCTTTAATTTTTTTTTCATTTATTTGGTTTTTTTGTCGGTGTTCTTCCGTTTGTTTTCGAATTTTTGGGTGAATTGGGCGAGCTGGGTGAATTTGTTGTGTTTGGGGTTTTTGTTGTTGTTTTGGGTGGTTGTTTTGGACGGTTTAAGGTGAGTTGTTGTTAGGGTTTGGATTACGGTGTGTGGTGGAGGGGAAAGAGTAGCAACCATGGCTATTAAAACCGAGTTTATTAGGAAGGGGAAGACTGGAAGAGAACCGATCTAACGGTCCGATGCAAATCAAATCGCCAGATTTCAAGTTCTACAACCCCAAATTCGAAAAACCTCAATTTCAATCTTTGTTTTCGAATTTGAGGAGAGAGAAAGTTGCTGGAATGGAGCTTCAGAACACAGTGAAGGAAGCCCTAAATGCTCTCTATCATCACCCAGACGAAGTTGTTCGTATGCAAGCTGCTCAATGGCTTCAAGAATTTCAGCGTACTTTTGGTTTTTGTTAATTTAACGATCTATTTCAAATTTTTTTAGTTTGAGATCTGAATTCAAATTTTGAGCAATTGTTATGATTATTCTAGTTTTGATTGAGTTTAGTTCGATCAGGTTAAATAAAAGCTGATCGATGGTTGTATATTTTCCTAAAGATTTAGAGCAAATTTCTTCATTTCCAACAGGTTATTTATTAAAAAAACGAAAAAAAAATAGGTCTATTCGGGTCTAAACCCGGACCGGACCTGATTTTTCAGGTCTGACCCGGAACCGGACCTGTTGAATCAGGTCCGGTCCCCGGTCCTCAAAATTCCCTAATTCAGGTCCCCGGTCCAAACAGGTCCGGTCCAGGTCCGGTCCGATTTTGGACCGGTGTACACCCCTATACATAATTCATTTCGAATTATTTAAATACTTCATAAAATAATATTTTAAATTAAAATACGTATAAAAATACGGGGTATTTCACCTTCACAGTCACCCTCTACACCACCATCTTCTTCACACTCTCCACACCACAACCAGCCTCCACAACACCACCACCTTCACGGCTGCAACCGACAGAGAAAAAAGAGAAGCTCACACGTGCAAGCTAAAATTGACAACATAACTAGTATTGGGCTGATTTACAAAAGTGTTACTGTGTATCCAATTTTTAAAATATGTGTTATAAAAAAATTCCTCTTGTAGAACCTCTCTTATAATTTTCCTAAAACTTTATGTTATACTTAATTTACAATTATTACGAAACAAGGAATTATAATATCATAAAACTAATATGAAAGGAATGGTGTCCTTCGAACAAGTGTATTATTCCGATAGAGGGTTCAGAACTAATTAGAAAAGCTATATATTCAGTGAGGTCAAGTGGTTGGAATGCCTAGTCGGAGGCCGCTTCCGATCAGTAATATTAATGTATAATTAATATTACAACTTGTTCTTGACTGAACCCTTCGGGCGGGTCACACCCAATCGTGTAACCGAACAATGGAGACGAATTAATCCGAAGGATTAAATAAGTCGATAGAGATTTTACGAACTACGACATCAGATTCCGAACTTAGAGCGTCGAAGCCGAGCGTCAAGCGTCAAGTCGATTTCTGGAATCGACAAAGACGAGAAAAATGATTTATACGACGCGAGGGTCAAAACCTTGGTCGTGGCCCCGCATTGGTCTAGCATGGTGCTAACTATGCGGGGGTAGGCCAAGGATGGCTAGCTAATGTCGCAAGCATGGCAGCTAGACCGGCTAGTCTTGCGCACAACATGACAACCAACCCAGCACACCATGCGGGGCATGGCTAGCAGCCTTGTGTTGCGTGTGTGTGCCAGCCCGCACGCTAGCAGGCAGGTACGCGCACTAGCTCACTAGCCAACCGCGTGCGCTGGGTTGGCAGCAGCTAGCAGGCCCAACCAAGGGGCCAGGCCGCCAGCAAGGTTTGCCTTGGAGCCCAAGGGGGCTGCCAGCTGGCTGAGAGTGAGGGGAGGCTGGGTATGCTGAAGAAGTGGTCCTCCTCCTTTGTGGTCCTTACCTATTGCCTCCTTAGTTTTGTGCCAAGTGTCGTTTAATTGTTTGTTCATGCTATTTAATTTAATTTGGAATTAAATTAATCGCTTACTTTCTCATTTCAACAACTCTCCCACATGGAAAGTTAATTGAAGTTTTTGGGAGCATTTCCCTATAAATACCCACCTTGTGAATTGGGATTTCTCACTTAAGTTGAACTCAAAAGGTATCTCCCAAAAGAGTGAGAAAGCCTTAAGTTCGTAAAGCTCTAGTTTTATTTGGCCTATCCCCGTCTAAGTTACGGGGAAGGGGCCGGTTCGGGCACGAGCTGAGGGTGTGAGACGTTGGAGGGCTTGCACTTGCGAGTCTCGAGGTTTTCCAAGTCCGACCTCGTGATACGAGCGAAGCACGCGTCAAGGGTGAGCTACTCTTATCCTTTCTTTCTCTTTCTTCTCTTTATTTGCTTATGCTTTCATTAACAACATGATATGCTGTTATGTTGTAATTATTATGCATGCGATCCTTTTGTGGGTTTTGTTTTCGCGTGGTGTCATACACCGCAAAGCCCAACATAATGTATAAAGCTAAACTTTTAGCTAGGTCACGAGACAGTGACACTTGGTATGATAACTTTTCACAAAGTGTCGTGCCACATCGACGACATATAAGATTTAATACGACACTTCTGACGCTGGATAAGCGAATTTAATCAAGATAGATTTTTAGGATAAAAAAGTTGAATTTAAGATAGATTTTTTGGATAAGAAAGTTATTTAGAGTTTTATTTCTTATACGATTTCTAATTTTCCATATGAATAAAATAGATTGTAACTTTCAAATAAATATCTTATAAATATATTACTTTTATATCATAAAATTCTATTTAAAAATACGAATTAAATAAGATTCATTTATGATATTTTTTAATCAATTAAAACGAGACATTAAAACTTGGCATCTTGGCTTTTCGTCAAGTCGCGACAATTACGGGTTATTTGACTCGATTATTTAAAATTAGCGAATTTGATAGATTTATTATTAAGATAAAAAGTTACTGTATTAGAGTTTGTTTTTAGGTAAGATAAAAAAAAATGGAATAGAAAAAAGTAATCAAATTATAACGTACTAGGAGAGTTAAAATATTTATATGTTTAATAAATAAATAAATAAATAATAATAAAAAAAAAGCAACTCACTAAAACTCTAGGAGTCTATATCATCACAACTTTTTGGGCGATGGTACAACTTTACGAGCTACGGTAATATATTTTTATTTTTACAAATATGATTATCAAGTGGTTATTAAATTATGAGTAGCAAATTCGAATAATATAGATATTTTTCCCAAGTCAATGATATCCAACGTACAAATATCCTAAATCAAAAGAGATATACACTTCTTGCATAACATTGTTTATATCAATGATTGTTTTAAAAATTGACATCTAAATAAAATGTTAATCTTATTAGTAAACAAACCGGGCATCGCCCGGAGCACAATACTAGTTGTATGTACAATTTACGGAGTAATTTTATTTTTTTTTTTTAAATAAAGAATATGGACACGCGTACAAACAAAAATTGTACTGTAAAATGAATCCCGTTGGCCCAGGTTATAAAACCCGTATTTATGAGCATCATGTCTTTTTCAGAAAATATAGCAAGCACATTACAATTCCTACGAGTCCTACCTAAGAGTTTTGTAGGCGGCGGCAGCAGCGGCGGTGAGAGAAAGCCAAGGTCGAAAAAGCTAATAAAATGTCGAGGACGTTGTTACAGCCGATAGGCCAGAAGCGCCTCACAAACGTTGCCGTCGTTCGATTGAAGAAGCATGGCAACCGCTTTGAAATTGCTTGCTACAAGAACAAAGTCCTCTCTTGGCGCTCTGGCGTGTAATCTTCTCTCTCTTTCTTTAGTTTTTACTTTTGAAATGAATTTTTGATTGGGTTTACAACTCTATGTTTCATTTGGTTGTGTTTCTTTCTAATTCAATGTTGGGTCAAATTTGATTAGGGTTCTTTCTTACTTATATGAATGAATTGCTTTGATTTGATGAGTGTTTTGTAGCATGTATTTATTTTTCTTTTTGGGTTTTACCTTCAATAATTTACCCATTTTACTTGTATTAATGTTCTACTAATTAAAATTTTTCTTTTTGGGTTTTACCTTCAAGAATTTACCCATTTTATTTGTATTAATGTTCTACTAATTAAATTACAAAATGATGTTATTATTAAACGAGGCTAATCCAAAAAATATTTTACATAATAACAATGTTTGTATGTCTTATTATTAGGATTTCATCACATGGTATGCACTATTATGTGGTAAGGAATTGATGTGAAACATTGTCATGTTTCTCTTTAAAATGTATGTGGCGGAGATGTGTATGATATATGGATGTGTGGCCAGACAAGAAAGTTTTGGTTGATAAATGAGTTGATTAGGAAGAAAGTAGGGGTTATACCTATTGAAACACTTTGCGAGTTTTTGATTTGCTGAAATTTGATGTAACAATAGGTTTATCAATTGCTCCTTAAATGTGAACTCTTTTGGGTTTGTTAATATTTTTGAAACAGAGAGAAAGATATAGATGAAGTATTGCAATCCCAAATTGTATATTCGAATGTGTCAAAAGGAGTCCTAGCCAAGTCTAAGGATTTGGTTGCTGCTTTCGGGACAGATGATCAGTCAAAGATATGTTTGGAGGTGTGCAGGATTACCTTTGCCTTTTAATTTTGAAACTCTAATGTTGTAGGGATGCTGGTCTTTTGATACAAGTTTATTTTTGTTAGATTTTGGAGAAAGGAGAGCTTCAAGTTGCAGGGAAAGAGAGGGAGGCCCAGTTATCGAGTCAATTTCGGGATATTGCAACTATTGTCATGCAGAAGACTATTAATCCCGAGACCAGGCATCCTTATACAATTAGTATGATTGAACGTTTGATGCATGAAATCCACTATGCTGTTGATCCCCATAGCAGTTCAAAGAAGCAGGTTAGCAGTTCTTCGATTCATTGGTTTAAATTTCCTTTCCCTGAATTGCTAGCATCTCATTCTTTTGTTCTCACAATTTTAATTTCTTGCTTTGTGGATTTGACTTGTTCTGTTGTTAGAGTCATTAGTATAGTTCTGCATCTTTGTTAAGCTAATGCCTTTGATTATTGAATTGCAACTTTATCTTAGTCCTGAAATAGTCCATGCTTTTTCTTATGTAAATGAGTTCCTCATTTTATTATGAACTTAATGTAGGCACTAGAGGTTATCCGTCAGCTTCAGCAGAAATTTCCCATTAAAAGATCTCCAATGAGGCTTCGAATCACTGTTTCTCCAGAGAGCTTTCCCTCTATCAAGGAGAAGCTAGAAGCAGGGCATGGGGATATTGTGTCAAAAGAGGAATCTGGAAATCAACTTTCAGTTGTAAGTTTGTTCTCTACATCAGTGCATCTCATTTCCTAATTTTACAGACCTGATATCGTTTGTTTATATATTTTTTGCTTGACTGTTATGTTTGCAGCTCTAAATTTCCCCTTTTTTTTTTTTTTTTTTTTTCATTCCTGCAACTTTATTTGGAGTTGAGCCTGTTTCTTCAATAATACTTTTTTGGGTGTGTTATTTGAATGATTTGGGACTTTGGGAGCATTGGGAGTTAGATCATCTTTGAAGATAATGTGCCTAATTATCGTAACAATTAGGGGACATTTGGTATGTGCTACTTTAAAATTGGTTACCCAAAAATTGGTTAAGCTATCTTGATTGTGAAACCTCATAACCCGCGGTATCAAATTCTTTTCCTCAATTTCCTAAAATACTATGCCTAAACCCCCTCCCCTTATGAATGAAATTCCAGACCTCCTCCTTCATCTGCTTACCTCTTTCTCATTTAAGTGCTCTTTTCCTCTCATCTCCTCCACCGTCTATAGCTTTTCTTTTATACATGTAACTATCCATTGCATATCATCAACGAATATCTGATATCATCCCCTGTTATATATTCATCTCAGTAGCAACTTACTATAAGCTTTCAACAAATCAAGTTTCTAATAGGACTAGTCATAACATGTTATGGATGATAGGAGAGAGAGAAAGGAGTATAAAAATGGAAGCAGCAAGTTATTCTGCTTCAAATTGATTCTCCTACCCTAATACTCAAGGTGGCTGCTGTTAGTTTGGCCTTTTCTATATAAATGCTTTAATTTTTGGGGGCAAAACAAAAAATCCAAAAAATATTCAGTCTCAATCTATACCCAAATAAGATTGGTTCAAGTATTAGATTCTTATGACTAACGCTGCTGAGTGAGAATACCAATGATTAGAGAAGATACAACTTTGTTGATGAGGACGAATAGGAGGTCCTAGAATCTTTGGTAATACTTATAGATTTCTAGATTGACTCTATCTTGATGTTTCAGTTTTAATATGATTATGTGTTGGGGTTACTCTTTTGCTCATATATATATACATATTGTATAATAAATAAAGGTGTTATGGTAGTCTAGTATTATTATGTTAATAGTCTTTAGTTTTATTAATAGAGAAGGGAAAGGAAGAGGCAGGCAGATTTCTGAGTGAATTATTAGTAGTGTTGTGACCTCAAGTCGCTATTAGGATAGCTGTGACCTAAAGTCACTATTAGAGATTTGGCATCCTAAAGTTGCTAGTTTGTACAAACCCCCATTTTCAATATATGTAATCAAAGATTCAACCTTTCTCTCTTTAATTTTTTGTTCTTTGTGCGAGTAAAATCAGTCAATCTTGAGTCTATTACATATTGTAATATTAGAAGACTAAGATTCCTCTTTAGTGACTTTGCGTGCACTCCACTTGTTGGGAGGATAAATCGTAATACTTTGCTCAAGAAATAGAGACCAATTTTGTAATATCTGCGTCCTCTAAGCCACTTATGGTAAATGTATAACCCTTAATTGATCCTACTTAACTTGAAATAAGCTATGAATGATGAACCTTTGATATTAATGTTATACAATCACGAACAAATCCTTCATTATTACAACCTTTTTTAAACAAATATAATACTCAAACCAAACAACACCCAAGATCAATGAAATCAAAATCAATGAGTATTAATTTCCTATCATTCAAACAATCATATTACATGCGAAACTACTTAACAAAACCTGGTCCTACCATGACATATAAAAACCATAAAATCAAAACACAATGTCTAACTTTATCCACTTATTTTTTATAATCTCTTACTTTATCTACCTTTTTTTTTACACACTCTTTCCATCCTAACTCTCTCCATATGCAAATAATTACTGTAAAGAACATTAAAATTTAATATTATGAAAATATACGGTGAAACTAATCTAACATGTTACTTGATAACGTTTCCTTCCATTAATAAAAAATAAAAGCGGTTAAAGTTAATATGTGAACAGTGAAGAAGTTAGTGTTGCAATATTTTTTTAATAGGAAGTATTTATATCACTCTAAATTGTTTAAATAGTGTACTGCTATACAAATATTCCATGAAAAAATTGAGAGGGGTGCTGATCCCTGTGAAGTCTGCTGTTACACTTGATCATATTATAGTTAAACTTTAATTTGAAACGCCTTTTCCACCTGCCAGCTTATCTGTTTTTTGAATTTCAGTGAACTGTCTATACAAACTTCTTCTTGCTATTTCAAATCTTTAATCAATGAAGCGCAATCTGTTATTGCGCTTTGTGTAAGTTGATCTGCCTTTGCTGAATGTTCAACCCAAGGCATAAACGATCAATATCCTAATGAATAAACTCTGGATACCATATGACATACTCTGGATACCATATGACAAAATCATTAACTAATCGACGCTGATCCCTTTATTGGTAGGGTGTAGGAAGGTTTGGATGTACACTACCGCACATTAAATCTGTTGGGAACTAGTAAAGAGATTGTTTCTGAAAGACCATCTGGGGGTAGTTATATCCCCCCAAAATCCAAACTCTCAGCAGTGTTACACTGCTTCATTGTTTACGTATCTTGATCCTATAATTAGTGCTGTCTGCTGAAAGATCTTGTACATGGCAAATTATCTTTCCCTACCACTAGCATGGAAAGCTGGCCTAATATTAATATTCTGTTACAAAGCCTTGGTCAAGTAATCTAGGGCATATAGTTAAGGTATTGTGCATTTGTTTCACTGCTCTTGAGCTCCTTTAAAATCATGGCATAGACTTTGAGGTAACAATCCAACATTATTTTCCTTCATAGACTGCTGCAAGTGGTGCTGATTCATATTGAACCAGTAGAAATTTCCATCAATTCACCTTGTTATTCTACACATTGGCTTGAGCATGTTCAGTATGTGGATCGTACTTCTGGGTGTTGGTTACAAATCTATAGAAGGCAACATCTGTAGTGAAAGGATAGAAGACAGACTAGCCAACAAAAATATTAGGTCAATTTGGTGCTGTCTAGCATGAATGACCCCTTTCATGTGGGAATAGAGAGAGCAAATCGTGTTTTGGAAGCAGTAAAGGATGCTAAATTGCTAATTGATTTATAAATGGGTGGGATTAATCTTGCTTTTGGGTTAGGCAAGGACAGATAAAAGTCTTCAATAGCTTGAGCTAGATGCAACCATACTGGAGTGGAGCCCTACTTGCTACCAAATCTGTAAGTGTATTCCTGTAGTTTTGGCTTTGGCTTCATGATATGAGTTAAGCCAATATACTAGAATTTCTGGAAATATTTAGTCAGACTAGCCTTTCATTAGTGTTGTTTAGATTGAGGCCTTAGTTATTTTGCTCTCTGGCCCATTGGTCAATCATCCCTGCATTGAGACATACTACAACCTTTAGGTGCTCAACTTGTAATGATTGTTGTTATGTTTTTATTGACTTTAAATTTTGCCTTGACCAATACGAAGTATAGAATAGCCTTTTCCAATACCTTTATTGTTTAAATATTATGTATTAGTTTTTGGAGGGATGGGATTTTTGCGAGCACATGAAAATGGACTTGAGGAGATTGCTGTCAGCCTGTCAACGTATGCTAATATAATAATGTGTGAGGGCTGCTTATTTCCTGAATTCCTGCTCAGACAGGAATTATAAGCTCAAAATTTTTACCATGATATTCACGTGTTCTGATTTACAAGTGCAGGTTTGTGAATTGGATCCAGGTATATTCCGAGAATTTGATAGCTTTGTGAGGAATCTACAAGGAAGGCTAGAAATTCTTGCTGTCTCTGTTCATGCAGAGGGAGATACTGGTGTTGATGCTTTTGATGAATTCAATGAAGACATTCCACCAAGCCTGCCCAAGGAACCTGCAGAACCTTCTGTTCATCAGCTAAGTGAGAGGTTACAAAAGCAGTCGGTTTCAAGTAGTACTAAAATTTCTGAGCTGGAAGTGAAGCAAACCAAATGCAGCACATGCAACGCCGTGGTAGGTGATGCAAAACAATATAGAGAGCACTTCAAGAGTGAATGGCATAGACATAACCTTAAGCGCAAGACTAGAAACCTTCCTCCCCTTAGTGCTGACGAATGTTTGCCTGATGTGGAATTTGGCGACTCAAAGGAAGATCTCAAGGAATACTCGTTTTAATAAATCTTGAATCTCATCTTGCTATTCTGTGCCTACTGTACTGATGCTGCTATAGTGGAACTGGTTTTACGAGAAGACGTGCTTATGTACAAATTTTGACATCACCAATAAGATTTGTGTAACATTGTAAAGGAGTACGTGAATCTGAGCAGTATGTTTCTTTAGTAATCCTTTATGCTTATCAAATTCTCGAATATATTTGTAGATTCTAACCTTTTTACTGCCAAGTTTGCCTTAATTTTTGTGATATTTTTGTTCATGGTAAACACTATAATAAACTAGGTTTACATTAATATAATGTACATCATGCTTGAGTTTGTTAATGTCACGTGAAATAGATATTCAGAAAGACAGCCTACACCGGTACAGTAATGGTATACCCACTGTTGGCTTTCATATACCCTGAAAATCTCAGTGTATTCACTTTGGGTGGCTTTGCCATGTCTCTTCAATCTTCACTTTCTTTCTCCTACAATGGCGGATAATAATCATGTTGGATACCAAGAGTTGGTTAATATGGAGGAAAGTGGAAACCGAGGAATCATCACTGGCATCAGCTTTGTTGGTGATGAGGCTTGCCTCAACAAATTTTAGGAGCTTGTGCAGGTAGAAAATGGATTAAGGTAAAATTCAACATTAGTGGGTGACCTGGATTTGGGTTTTGGTAAAATGCCTGAACTATTTGAGCAGTGAATTTTAAATTGGGTGGTGATGAAAATGAGAGTACCCAAGATCCCATTGTTGAAGATCATATAACTCCATCAGGGATTTAGGGGTATGGCATTCGAGTTAGGCCGTTGAGAGTTTGGAGGAACAAGCAATGTATGATTTGATTGCATTGGAATTGCCAGAATGAGGAGACAACAATCTTCATGAATCAATAAAGGTACTCTCTTTGTTTGTTTTGTTCTACTTACTTTGCTTTATTCTAACTTAGGCATACTCCATTTACCATTTTACCCCTTACTTAAATTTTGTGTTAAGTGATTGAGAGATTAAAGTTTGGGATTATCAAATTTGTCTCTATGATTTTTGTTCAGTTGCACAAATGAACAATAAATTCAATTTTTGCATTTGCTCGTTTTATTCATTTGCTAAAATATTTAAGCTATAAATAATAAAATCAAACAATGTGTAACTAAAAATCATAGTCAAGGATGTTGATTCATGATCTTGTTGATTTATATAGGTTTTCATGATTAAAATTGCCTCTAATTTTGTTTGTTTGTTGGTAAATTAAATGAATATTGTGTACACCAATTGATTGAGATTGAGTATACCGGTAGGAGCAGATTAAAGCATTTTAGATTAGCTTTGTGGTATTGCACGTTTTGTTTATCTTGCTCACTATGGTATTTTAGAACTCTTCCCTGCTTTTCAGAAAAAACAATTATCTCCCTTTTATCTGAGAATATGGTTTCCTGAAACTCTGAAAAGAGTCTGCAGCAAGATGAATAAATACAATACTAGAAATTACATTAGCACAATGCAGTTTGATATACTTTTACATACATGTCGATTTACAGGGTATTTGTATGTTAAGCGCATCCTAAGCTGGTCGCAAAATTACCCATTGGCTGTATTATCTGCATATAAAGGAGAAATTAAGAATCAGTGATCATCCCAGCTTATAGAACTAATGAGATGCAGAAAATATATTGAATAGAAGGGAAAGAAAAAGAAGTTTTTTGTAGTATGTAATAGCTTAAAAGGTTATACTGTATTTTTTGAAGCGTCATATAGAGGGTTTTGAAGTATTTACCTTTTGAACGAATACAAATGTAAGACCTCTTATTTTCCCTGTCTTGTGAGGAATACAAGGAGGCCAAAGCCTGCCATGATCGCGATCTTCATTACCTGCATATGTATAAACAATTTTGCTTTATATTTCAGACACTGTTTTATGCAAAAAACTGATGGAGATTGAGTAAAAACAAAACCTGCCCGCCTGGTCCAGTAAAAGATATGTTGTCAGGCCGTCCGTTGGACTCCAAATTTTTTGATCCAGTAGATCTTTTCTCACTTTTTCTTTCGGTGAGGCCAGTATCTGTGAACTGAAATTATAACAAAAGAAGTAAAACATATCAGAAGTTTCCTTATTACAGTTATTTTGACGATACAATACAGCATGGTAACACATTGGTAAATTGCATTTCCTCCTCTGAGTGTCATTTTTTCTACTTGTAATAATAAAACGTTATACCACGGCACTAAGCATGAAAATTAACAAACTTGTGTGATTTCATTATTTTATTTCAAAGTGAACTCATGCAAGTTGTTTAGAAGAACTTGCTAGGAGTGATTTCATAGATTTGCTGTCAAATTAGAACATTTTATGCATGATGTGCTTGTAAATGAATGAGTGATTTAGATCTGTCTTGGCTGAAAGAGGAAGTATATGCTAGTGTAAGCTTCATTTCTTGTGGTCAGCTAGGTGTGGACTGACCTTTTCTTGATCATTATCTTGACTGCAATTGGAAAGACAATCTTCAGGAACATTCAGAAGTGGACTGTCATCACTTAAAACACATGAGCGTATCATTTCATCCAAAAATATCCAGCCGCGTAAGCTATCAATTGAGCAATGCTCATTCCCATCAAACAATTTAGATGCTCTACATTGAGAAGATTTCCATTGCTTGCTTCTCCATTTCTTATCAATAACTAAAGTGTCATTGGTAGTATATCCATACTTTTGATGGAACAAATCAGTAGAATACTGCTTTCTTCTCGGTAGTGCTTCAAGAAGTGTCTTCAACGAAAATATACTTTTTTCAGAAATAGGTGATGAATGCAACTTTTTCATAGCTTTTTTCTTCTCTCTACTCTCTTCACTTGTAGGTTGGGTATTAGATATGCTATACTCATCTGAAATCTCTAGATGAGTTGATCCGTAGTCCTTATCTTTCTCTCTTCCTTTCCCCATTTTCTCTGAAGTAGAAGAAGCTGATGCTGATTCTGAATTGGACATATCTGTTTTGGAACTCAAAGCAACTATCTTCTTTAAGACTGGCATTTTAATGGGAGTATGCACTCTCGTATTACTGCTTAACTGACCTGTTTCCTTAGTTTTATTTTTACTGGGAAACAACTTCTCTTTTCCTATCTCCTCTGGAGTCGAAGTACTAGGAGCTGCTTTGGAAGTTACAGCAACTGCCTTCTTTAAGATTAGTTCTTTAGGAGTATCCACAATTGTATTTCTGCTGGACCTATCTGTTTCCTTTGTTTTATCTGTAACAGGAAACAATTTCCCTCTTTCTTTCCCTATTTCCCCTGTAGTCGAAGTAGCTGATGCAGTTAAAAATTTGGACAAAACTGGTTTAGTATTAGCAAAAGATGTCTTCTTTAAGATTGGCACTTTGAAAGGGTTATCCACTCTAGTACTACTCCTTAATCGACCCAATTCCTTTGTTTCATCAGTAACAGGTAATCTTTCCCTTCTTTCTTCACCTACTTTTTCCTGAGTTGAAAGAGCTGGTGCTGATTCTAAGTTCGAGACAACTGGTTCAGTATTGATAACAACCTTCTTTAAGTTTGTCACTTTGGCAGGAATATACGATGTAGTATCACTGCTTGATTGAACCATTTTCTTTGATTTATTAGTATCAGGTGATGTTTCCCTTCTTTCTTTTTCTATCTCTTCCCGATCTTGAGCTACAGAAGCTGGTGCTGAATCTAATTTGGACAAATCTGGTTCAGTATTGACAGTAACCATCTTCTTTAAGATTGGCACTTTGGAAGGAATATCCACCATAGTACTACCGCTATATTGAGTTGTTGCCTGTGTTTTATTAATAGCAGGCGATTCAGGGGGGAAAAAAAATCTTGGTATCTCATATTTAAGGTGTAAATGCAATAAAAGACGAAAACTTAAAAGACACTATGAGCATAACTATCAGTAAACAGATACCTTCACTGGACTACTTTCAATAGCAAGCATCAAATTCCTTACATTGGTAGGTTTTTTATTCGACCGACTCTGCTGCTCCACGTTATGTCCTTGAATTCTTTCCTTCAGCTGTTGATAAGCCGGCAACTTATCCAATGCCCCAGTTGATTTGGAGGTGGAAAAGGCCTGTTTGCAGAAAGTGTATTTGAAACATATGTTTATGCGATTCACGAATTTACAATGAACTTTAAGAAAAACACGACAAGAATTACTTGTTTCTTCTGACCAGGTTGAGCTTTGTTCAAAACTTCATCATTGGAATCTGTGAATATTATTTTAGCTTGGTCGTCAGATGGTTCCACACTTCTTTCCTGAGTCTGATGCTGAGACTTGAGTGAATCTTGTGAAGATGCAGGGCTGATATCAATTTCAATTTAGAATCACACTACAAGAAAACTGTCAAAACAAAATTTCCCTTCGTACCTCATGTTTAATGCACACAAAATTCATGATAGTACAAAGCTGAGGAACAAAGATGATGCGGACCTACCACCAGAAGCAACTGCTAAATCTGAGCTACTATGACTCTTCTTCTGAAGATGCACCTGCTTTTTCCGAGCTGCAGATTCTCTCTGCAAGTCAATAAAACTCCTACACATTATATAAGGCAGAATGGCAATGAGATAACTCTTAGAGACTCATATATATACGTTGTACATGATAGCCACAATCATACTTTATTGGTGATTTATTCACTTTGCAATGATAATACAAGTATATCGACAATATCATTATAAGGTTCTGTTGTAGGACTGATACAGTCAAGAATCTGACAGATACTTACCATACTACGGATCCGGTTCAGCTCATTTTCTGTAAGGATAAAATGCAGTCTCATGCGGATATGCCCCCCGTCTTTAAGTGGGAATAGATCATCCCAAGTACCTTTTTCGACAATGGACCTAGTTTCAACATCTGCAAAGCACCTACACTTCCATCAGTGGCCATCACTGAATCACTGCTCATACTGATATATATGTTCAGCAGAATTTACTGACCTGTATGTGCTATTTCACTCCCTTCAGAGTCACGTATCGACACATTCAATTTGTCCCGAAGAGAAGCTAATGCACTACAAGATTCATATAGGCATAATTTCCATCATTAGTATCCAATCAAAACAAACGTGCAAAGGATTACGACGAATTAGCATGAAGATAAGTGACATTACAAAGAAGTTTCTTTATTGTCTTGCATTTCATGTGCCTGTTTTCCCATAGAAACTGCATTGCCCCAAGATTTAGAGTTTAAAATACGATACAAAGTAAAGATGTAGACAACATTTAATCAAAACGAAACATTTTCCATACCCTTTACACCCATGGATGAAGATTGTGGTGGAGATGGTAGTCCCACCAATTCAAGTACTGATAAAAAAAAAAAAAAAAAAAAAAAAAAAAAAAAAAAAAAAAAAAAAGAGCAGAAATTTGTTATATCAGTTATAACACACTTCATGTTGGTACACAAACTAAAACATGAAGAGCTACAACATACCCGATACATGGATAGTTCCTGGCATTGAAAACGAACGATTATACTTGAAAAATCGAGCAATGTCAAATTAAATGCTGATTATTAGTTGTTAAATAAAGAGAAAATAATTTTCAGGGAAATTTTGATAAGCTTTTAGATAGGATGGTTAGGAGTTTGGATTACATGTGGATGAACCTCAGTGATGAAGGCATCTAAGGCATGGACCCACCTAAACTCAAAGATTTTTCGTTGGTGACCTCAAATTTTCACATGCCTAAATCACATATTTGTCTCTTTCATGAAACTATATATATATATATATATATATATATATATATATATATATATATATATAATATATATATATATATATATATATATATATATATATATATAGCAGTCACAAGCTTACAACATCATGATCATAAAAAAAGGGGGGGGGGGGGAGGGGACTAAGAATCGGATCGAATCAGTTCGAGTTACTTCAAATTTGGGTGAAACCACATAATTTATAATTTTGGGTTAGAGTATATTTCTGTTGGTGTTATGTTCAGTTCGGTTAATGTAAATTTGGGATGAGTTTGTAATGATTTATTCGAGTTCGGAGTCGAGTTTAGATAGGTTGAGTATTAGGTTTAGATCAATTCTTGGTTTAGATCAAATCTTGGTCGGATTACTGCAGATGAAGCTGGATCAAATTATCTTAGGTTAGATCAAGCTCGAATCCAATGTGTCTTGGGTATGATTCAAGTTCGAAACAATGTGTCTTGGGTACGGGTTGGATTGGACAAGCCTCGGGTTTGAGAAAAGCTTGCACATGAAATCAAATCAACATGAGCTTTAACATTATTATGATTAGATTCTTCGAATCAACGAAATTAGAGTTTAATTAGGTTTACTGTGGTTTGATTAATAATGGATCTGATTAAGTTGGATTTGAGTTAGTCATGTTGAATTAGGTTTGAAATTATCTCAGGTTGATTTTGGCTATTAGCTAGATGGAATCGAGTTGGATTACCTATGACATAGTTGAATTAGAGTTTGAGCTGACTTAGGTTGGGTCTAGAACAATGCGGGTTGAATAGAAATTCGGGTCTTATCGGATTGGGTTGAATAAGCTCTTAAGTGGAATGGAATCCCGGGTTATGTCTTGTTGGGTCAATTGCAATTGTTCTCAGGCTAAATCAGGTAGGATACGAATTGTTGTCAATCGAATGCAAGTTTCATTTGGTTCTGTTCATACATATCAGATCCAAATTGAGTCTTTAGTTTAATTTCCCCGCATTGGTTGTAGATTGACTTTAGTTCTTCAATTCTTGGTCTAAATCATATGTTGGGTTAACATCGGATAAATTTAGGTCAATTTCTTAGATCCAAATTCTTTGGATATATGGGTTGGTTTTCGATTGGTTTCAGTTGTTTAGTTAAATTAGGTGACTTTTTGACAGTCCTAGTTCTAATCGTTTTAGTTCTAGTTAGGCTAGTTAGTTTCATGGTTCTAGTTAAAAATTAATAGTGTATATTGATAGTGCAAGATATTGCGTTATTTCCAATATTAAGTAACATACATTAGGCACATTAAATGATAAGGTCATGAGAATGTAAGATACCTCAAATGATTAGAATAAATTGGCAAGCACCTTACATAACTTTTTTTTTTGGACAAGAGCAAAGACAAGATTATTAAGTACTAAATGACGTACAACTAAGTCTATTAACATTAGCCAGGTGGTGAGCCTTGTTCACCTAGTCTCTATCCACCTTCCAAAGGACACAAAACTGGAAAAGAGAGCCCAATTTCCATATTTCCTTAAGACTCCAAACTAGTTCCACCCATCTCTCTGGTTGGTCGGGAGAGGATCTGAACTAGTAAAGTTGAATATGAGTACGCAATAATTCGTTGAAATGCCCGCTCTGCAGCCCATCGCAAAGCATGAATACAAGCTAGGAGTTCAACATCTAGCGCCGAAGAGGTTTTACTGTAGCTGCCTCCACCATCATGAAAAACATTCCCATCCCAGGGGTAGGCCCATCCAACACCCGTATTTCCTGAGTGTTTTTGCCACGAACCATCAATTAAAATTATGGCTTTTGCATTCCGAACTGAAAAGTGTGCATTCTTCAATTGACCAATACTAAAATTTAAGAAACCCGGAGGCAAACTACATACTCCCGCTGTTTGGGGGATCAAGAGTACTATAAGGCAACTCCTCGGGATCTCTGAACTTAATTAAGATATCCATTGTACCTTTAAAATTCCTGTAGAGAGCTGCCATATCCCCATGGTCTTCTCTAAACAGTACACCTTCCCATGTCCCATTCTTAGTCACCCACAAGCTCCACAAAACAACAATAAACACACCAATGCGTTCACTGTGAATACCATACTTGTTATAAACCAGCAAGATATAACTAAGAATACATTTTCTAAAAGAAAGGGATTTATCGAATTCCGAAAATATATTTAAAGAGCAATTTCTCCAAGCATATTTAGCTAGTGAATAGAACCGGAAAAGATGTTGCATATCCTCCATATCTGCTCCACAATACCCACGTTCTATATCCACTGGGATCCCTCATCAGTTGAGATTAGCCTTAACAGCAAGGCTATTTAGAAATAGTTTCCACAAGAAAAGACTCCACCTTGGAGGTACATTCAAGGACCAATAAGCTTAAACAAATTTCTATCTCTCTCGGATTGTTGCTCATGTACGCGTTCTTTTAAAAAGAAGGCATAGCCTGTCTTAACCATATAATTCCCTGAAACATGATATTTCTAGTAAAGGAAATCATCCTCTGGAGTAGTCGGCAGCTCCATACACAAAATAGTTTGTGCTGTGATCCAATCAAACCATTCCCTAACAATCTTTGCTTTCCAAGTTCTAGAATCTGCATTAATTAGATCTTTCACCATCCACGAACCCAAATCCCTTATATGGACATCATTTTGCAGCTCTGGAACCTCTCCATGTACCCACCTCATGCTAGCCACCTTAATTTGATCACTCGAACCAACACTACAAGAAAACAGCTTGATTCCGACGGAAAAAATCCGTCGGAAACATCGGAAATTCCGTCGGAAAACGGTCTCCCGTCGGAATCAGTCTGTCGCAAAACCATTTGTAGGAAATTCGACCTTTTTCGACGAAATTTCCGTCGAAAGGCTAGTTTCCGACGGATTTATTTCTGTCAGAACTTTTTTCACTTTAATTGAAATTCCGTCGCAACCCTGCTCACCACCCCTAACCCTTACCCCACCCAGATCCACCACTGTCCACACCCCTGCTCACCACCCCAACCCACCCCACCGCCACCCCCTAACCCACCAGACCCCACCTCACCACCCACCAAAACCCCCACCTTACCACCCCAACCAAAACCCACCCACACCAAACCTAAACCATCCTAACCATTAACTTACCGAGCACCAAACTCACACCAGCCCCCACCCCACCACCACCGACACCACTACACACCACCACCATTCCAAAAATAAACCCTACAAACCGAAATTAATTCTAAAAATATGAAAAGCCCAAAAAAACCGAAAATTAACCCCAAAAATATGCAAATTAACACAATATAGTCAAAAAATACCATAAAAAACAATCAAAACCAGTAGATCTACATCTTAATCAGAATTTCATTAAAAAAATTCCAAAAAAAAAAACGATAATTAACCAACGAAAATTAAAAGAAATATATATATATATATATATATATATATATATATATATATATATATATATATATATATATATATATATATATATACAATAAAATTTATAAACTTAACATTACAATTACATACAAATTAAAAATAACTAGCTTTACACTCTTGACGGTGGTTGTTGGCTCGCGATGGTGGTTGTTGGGCCGTTGTTGTTGTTGTTGGCTTTGTTGTTGTTGTTGTTGTTGTTGTTGTTGTTGTTGTTGGCTTTGTTGTTGTTGTGTCGTTGTTGGCTCGCGATGGTGGTTGTTGGCTCGCGACGGTGGAATCGGAGAAGAGGAGTAGAGGAGAGGGAATCGGAGAAGAAGAAGAAAGAGAGAAGAGGAAAGAGAACAGGAGAGAGAACAGGGAAGGAGAAGAGGACATGAGAACAGAGGAAGGAGAAGAGGAAAGAGAACAAGAGAGAGAAGAGAGATCAGAGAAGAGGAGTAGAGGAGAGAGAATCACAGAAGAAGAAAGAGGCGGAAGAGAGAATGAGAAGATGAGAGAGAAAGAGAAAAAGAAAAAGAAAAATCTCTCTCCTCTAAAAACCAGTTTCGTGGTTTAAGGCTAAAAAGGAATCCTATGATGTTCTGACGGAAATTAATTTCGTCGGAATTAATAGCTTCCGACGAAATTTTCCGTCGGAAGATATTTTCCGAGGGAATATTCCGTCGGAAGCTTGTAATTCTGACAGAATTAATTTCCGTCGGAAACATTTCGAGGGAATATTTCGTCAGAACGTATTACTTCCGACATAATTAAATTCCGTCGGAACAGTTTCGAGGGAATTTTCCGTCGGAATAGGGATTTTCCGACCGAATATTCCGACGAATCAAAATGCATCGAAAAATCCAAAATTTTCGACGGAATTATGGGCCCGTCGGTAAACACTCTATTTCTAGTAGTGAAATTTCGAGGAAAATCCTTCCATAAATTTGTTAGCCACATTATGAAAACACCGTCTTTCCCACGATGGGTTACTCCTCAACATTGTCACTGATTTCCCTAAGCTAATACTATACGTGTGGTTAGGAGAATAGGCTATTGCTAGAAAGAGTACAAGTTATGGGTAGAATGCATTTTAAGACCTGTTTAAAAAGGAGTGCATCATTCATACAAGACATAGCTCTAATATCCAAACTCCCTCTCCCTTTTGGTTGATAAATTGTATCTTTATTCACCTAAGGCATTCCTTGAACTCATTTGTAGCCCAGAAGAACCTAGCAATTAGGGAAACGATCACATTAGAAGTTTTTAAAGGTAACTTAAAACACTTCAACATATGCTGAAGTACTGATTAAAATTGAGCAATCAAAACTAGTTTCGCCGATTGAGAGAGGTGAAGAGGTCCCTACGCCAAAATTTTCTTTGTCACTTTATCTTCTAAGAATTGGAAGACATGTTTCGTTCCTTCCATGACATCAATTAGGGCCCCCAAGTGACGATCCATCACCATTCATTGATTAATGTTGAGAATACTTCTAAAAATCTTAGCCTCCTCTGCTGTCGTTGTCACACTAAAT